CTGCCAAGCTCACAAACGCAGCAAAAGCAGTTCGCAGAGCCCACACACGCCCCACATAACCCCCTGCATTGAGGTAAACATACGTTCCTCTTGTCTGTACTATGCGTTGACCAGGAATAGACTCTGCAACATCAAACATGCTCTTGTAAAACCACTGACATTTTTCTATAGAATCCCTCGGTCCCTCTGTGACAACAAGTTCCAACTGAGGTGTGGAACACAGCGGATGCGCTGCAAAGAGTAGTGGTGCTGTTGCCTTTCCGTTCTGTACAGCAGTGGCATCAAATTTAGCGGCGGTGGGTGCCGTTTTCGCCATGAAATAATCCACTGCCTGCTGAACCCTACTGGCCCCAGTGAAAACAGTGTCACCACCATCAAATACCACAACAACATCGTCATCTCGAAGACCTTCCTGTTCCATGTACTCCAGCACCCACTGAGGGCGCTTTGCGTGTGTGTACTTCATTCCGATACCAATAGTGACCACAGATACATTGGACATGATAGAACTCAGCAGCATTCGGCACCACCCAGGAGAAAATTTCGTCTGGACAACGAGAAAGACAACCCTCGGTGTGCTGCCTTGCCGAACTGGTTCTGCTGGATTTGTGACGTTCATGCTTGAGGCGCGATTAACAAAAACTCCATCTTCTGATACACTTAAGGTAAATAGCAAGCACAACAACATAGAGGCAAGAAGACCCAACCAAAGGAACTGGTATTGCCCTCTGCACTGGAGCAGAACCATTAAGCCGGAGAGCTTGTGTCTCTGGGAGAGAGAAAAAATGAAGAGTCAGAAACCAAAGAAAGAGGGTGATAAAAGAGAACGATACACACAATCATACCCAATGGAAAGAACAAACGACCAAAATACACAATGAAAAGCTGAAGACATCACCAACAGGAAAACGCACGCAACATCCAACAAATCCAAGCAAAGAGTTAAAGAAAAAAAAATGGAGTGAGAGCAACATCAGGAGGCAAAACAAAGCAAAGTCACACCGGTAATGAGGTAGATTCATTCCAGCAACACATCAACACAGCAACGCCTCAACCCAAATTCCCAGACCCGCTCGCAGCCCGCAGTGCGCACGCACCACTGGAGCAACACAAAACGTAGAGAGAATCGAATCACCCAAAAAGGCATCACCGCGTGTCTTGCCAGGGTAGCGCCACGCAAGGCGATCCAT